TGAGTATGAGTCTAGAGGGGACTATTCCAGACCCTGTCAGCCCCTCATCAAAATAAACATCTACTGGTATGTCTTTCATGCACTGAAAAGGTTGAAATGTGGTAGTTTTTTCAGTAATGTATTCCTGTTGCACATAAAGTTGTTTTGCTACCTTTAAATGTATATTTAAGGGGCTGGAGAGATGGCTCAGCAGTTAAGAACACTGGCTGTTCTTGCAGAAGACCTGGGTTCAAATCCCACCACCCACATGGCAGCTAACAACTGTCCATAACTCCAGTTCCAGGGGATCTGCCAGCATCTTCTGTCCTCTGCGGGCATTGCACAACACTGGTGCACTTACCTGCATGCAGGCAATACATGCATACACATAAAATAAAAATAATAAATAAAATATTTAAAAATATATATTTAAATTTATTATTTGAGAATTTCATATATGTTTGCAATGTATTTTTTACTATGTACATGCCTATCAGCCCTTGAAGCCATCTAGGACCTGCCTACCCCAGAGAAGAAGGTGACCATTTTGTTTTATTTAAATTTCATATTTTAATTGGTGTAATTTTAGATTAACACAGGTAAGATAGTAAGGAAAGTTATAGGATATCACTCACCTAGTTTCACTTCACATTTTCACACTGCTTTACTGTGAAAACATTTCTCATGATCTTAAAATGAAGATGGATATATTATTCTTAACTAAATAACAAATTATATGTAACTTAATTTTCAGGTATAATCCTTTTATGTGGCATGATTCAACTTACACTGTACATTGTGTTTAAGTCAGTTTTCTTCTAAATGATATAAAATCATAACGCCTGTGATCATACACCCTGACTACACTATAGTCTCCACTGTGCATGTTTAAACACAAAGTCTGGAAATTCCTTTACTGGAAATATAATAGTTTCATTTTCCTTGGAACTAAAGAGCACTATAAGTGAAACATTAATGATGAATCTAAGATTTACTTTATTTTTAGATTAACATGTGGCCTTGTTTTCCTGGGAACCTCAAGCTCATTTTTGTTCTTTGTAGAAAGAGCCGGAAACAGGATTACCTGTGAGTATAAAGAACATTAGAAACTATTGTGAATAGAAACTGTCATATCTTACTGCAACCTATGACACGAAATATTCAACCTTTAGAATAAAGATGAAGAAATGGGCTTAACAGCTTTAGCTATGCAAAGGACAAATTAACACTAAAAGTATATTCTCAGCTCTGTGCCATTAACTGGGACAACTTTTCCTTAACACACATCATTTGTCCTAATCATTTAACTTATTAATGGTTCTATTTTCACAAAGCTTTGGACATCCCTTCTTAGTAAATCCATTTATAGAAGTGCAGTCAGGAGGCTTATAGAATCTTAGAACTTTAATTAACCTGATCTATGCTATAGAAAAGAGGACAAATTGGTACTGAGTGAAAATCTGGTCTAGAGTGGTTTTTCTTTGTTCACATTCATAAACATTGCAACAAATGATGAGCTATATTATGGCATTTGCATGCATGTGTATCATTCCCTGTGAACTTTTTACCTAGTTCAGTGCATGTTTGTCCTGCTTTAACACTGAATGACAACTGGAAAGTAATATAGTGTTATTAGTCTATCCTAAATGATTGTTTTGTGAGCCAATGACCTTCTAGGTTTGGTTTTATATTGGTTTCCTTGGTTATGCCTTGAAAACTCATAAAATATTCATGTTAAATATGTTTCTGAGTAAAAGGCTCAAGAATATCATGCCAGATGTTGATTCAAAGTGAATATATGCAAATTCATATGATAGCTTTATTAACGTGTTAAATTGTGATTCTTCACTGCAATTTGCAGTCATTTCAGTCACTTCTCCTATCTCTGAATATTTATTCTTCTTTTACTAAGAGATTTGTAACAGTAAACATAGATATATACATACATGCATAATATATTCTCATACATGGATATATATATTCACAGAAAACATATCTCACTAATACATTTCAGTTGCATATACAGGAGAAAACACAGACACATCTGAAGCTGTGATTGTCTGGTGAAAATAAATTCAATAGCTAGAATATTTAACTACAGAGGATTCATAGAAGGGTTTTCTATTGGTAAGACAACTGGGTTTTCACCTAAATGAATTATACCTAGACTTGTAATGTCACGTGACTATTTTGATATTTTTATTTTGACCCTCTTTATAAACCCTGGAGATGTGCTGGTAGGTGGTTATAACATGCTTCAAAGTAAATTCACATAAGTTTCAAACTATGTATCTTGTAGCATTATATTTAATCAAATGAGTTCACATTGTAACCAATAATTGGAAAATAAGTTCAAGATTTTATGTCATATTCAACAATTTTTTTCTCTTCAGCTATGTGGTTATCTACAGCTTTCATATATAAGTTATTGACACACTGCCTTCAGATTCTACATCACTTACTCTGTTTTTCTTTTTCACCAAGAAGTTTATTAACTTTGTGCACATAATTACCAAATTTTAGTATATCAAAGATATGTAAATGCTCACAGGCTGCATAAAAATTAATGCCCTATTGCATTAAAGTTCCTAACAACCTCCCACAATAAATATTCAAAATCCTTTTCTTAGACATGTCAAAACTGCATGAATGAGCTATTCCACAGCTTGATTCTTGAATTCCACTAGACATTATCTAACACTTTTTTAATAGACTACAAAAATAATGAATATTTACCATGCCTTTGAAACTGTGCTGAACAATTCATCAACATGGGAAACAAAATACACAGAGTAAAGACTGTAACAGCTTACTTAAATATAAGAGTAATCTGGAAACTTTTTAAATTTCAAGATTATATAACTTCTATGAAAGTTTTGCCTTATTGGCTTGGTCGCTCCCATTCAAGCATTGTCTGCTTTACAGAAGGTGATGTGGGAAGATAGAAAATACAGTTAGCACTATTTGTCTTTGAGGGAGGAAAACAAACAAAAAGTTTAAATAACCCCAAGGGAGACCCATATTAAAAATCTAAGTTATTCATTTAAAAAATTTAAAAATTATATTCATTTTTTAACAATTACTTTCCTTTTCCTGGACATTTCTTTTAAGTATGTGCATAAATGAAATTTAAATCAGCAATATGATTAATCTTAATGCATCAAAATAATACATGTGTAGATTTTAAAATTTAGGACTGCATATATTCAAATAATTTAATGTAAAAGTCAGAACAAATATTGCTATGCAATGGTGATCTACAGAAAAGACTCAGTCTACTTGTGACAGTAAGTATGAATCACACCTGGATTAATAGACATTCAAGTAACTGTCACTACTAGAATACCCTGTCTATGTTCAAATCTAACTTCTAACAAATACTTTCTTACCTACATAAAAATCCTTTTCTTTGAAAACAAATGGACAAATGAGATATAAACCTTAACTCTAAATAAATATTAAAATGAAGTATGTGTCAAGAAAAGTTTTTGATGATCTTTTTTTTTTGTTTTTTTTGAGACAGGGTCTCCCTGTAGCCCCATCTGTCTTGGAACCCACTATGTAGACCAGGCTGGCCTTGAACTCACAGAGATCTGCCTGCCTCTTCCTCCCAAGTTCAGGGATTAAAGGCATGTGCCACCATGCCTGGCAATGACCATGTTTTTTAAAGATGTTCAATGCAATAGATACTGGATTTTTAAGCTGTACTTAGAGATTGTTTTATATGCTTCAGTATTTAAATGAAAGAATAAAACTTATAATACAGGAAATCACTAAAGAATAACACAAGCATACTTGAAATGAAAATGGAAATTATAAAATGAGAATAAATAACTAGAAAATAGTGCTAATTCACAGCGCCAGAGGTCTAAGATGTATAGCTTCAGAGAATCACTCATGAAACATTGCTTTTATCATCTAATGTATATTAATAGCATGCATTTTGTTGGAAAACAATGATTATATATTTTGTAAGAATCACTCTTTATCACAATGCCTCATTTATACATGAAGAACATAAGATTTTTTTAATAAAGAGAATGTCTGTAAAATAGCCAACCCTACTCTTATTTTCTTACAGAGAAAACGATGTTATTCTTTACTCTGCTAATTTTATGAGGAGATCTTGGGTTATTGAGGCAGAATTGAGTCTGAGTCTGTTGACATGTCTGGCTAAATATCTTTTTTAAACAAAAACTTAATGTCTTTAACTGTAACTTTGCACAAATAACAACATTAACCTCTGGTGCGATATACTGTTGACTAGGAGTTTGATCCTGAGCAGTTGACCTTTTCTTGAACTTTTTCACTTAATATTCCATTAGCATAATTTTGAAGAAGTTAAAAATGATGAATTAAAAGTGTAATTATGGCACTTTAAAAATATGATTCATGTATAGTGCTAGATACATTTCCACAGAGCTCTCTGTTTATGAAGTATAAGTTAGTTCATTTGAAGTTCCTGTTCTTTTCCTACTTTTAAACAAAATTTAAAATGTAGTAAGGATTTACAAATCTATCTAAAGTACATTGTGCCTTTTCTACGAAGAAGGAAGAAAAATCAATGCTTTGGTTTGACTGGCATCTAATCAGCCAGGCTTCATTCCATGAATATGGTAGGCATGATAAATCAGTTTTGATTTTTGGTTCATAAATAGGATATGGTTTCAAATTATCTATCATTTTAAAAGGTCTCCTAGAAAATAGCAAAGTCGACATGTCAAAGAAAAACAATTTGTCTTCTCCAAGACAAGTTGACGCTTTCTTGCCCCAGTATGTAAAACGTGGCTGTTTAAAAGTATGTATTCAGTAATTCTACACCTTAATTCTACATAGTATTCAGCGGTATCCTTCAAAAGCACTTCTAATATTTTGTTCTCAATGTTAATAAAACTAACCACTATTACTTGGCTTAAGATGTGCCACCTTGAAGATAATATTACAAATTTCATGAAGAAAATTTCTCTCATAATTACAGATTAATATGAGCACACCTTACTGTCAACTTTGTCTTGTGGATCATGCAAAACCAGAGCTTTGTCACTGAGTTCATCCTCCTGGGGCTTTCACAGGACCCAAAAGTTCAGAAAATATCAGTTGTTATGTTTTTGTTTGTTTACATTACTACTGTCGGAGGAAACATGCTGATTGTGGTGACCATCATCTTCAGCCGTGCACTGTTTTGCTGTCCCATGTACTTCTTCTTGACATTCTTGTCCTTCCTGGATGCATGTGTTTCTTCTGCCATCACACCAAAAATGATTTCAGATTTGCTTTCTGAGTTCAAGGTTATCTCTTTTCAGGGTTGCATGACACAGGTCTTTTTTGTCCACTTCTTTGCTGCAGTGGAAATGATTGTCCTCACAGTTATGGCCTATGACCGCTATGTGGCCATTTGCAAGCCCTTGCATTACATTTCCATCATGAACAGGAGGGTCTGTGGCATTCTGGTGGGGGTAGCCTGGGCAGCCGGTTTCTTGCACTCCATCATACAAATTTTATTTACTCTGCAACTGCCCTTCTGTGGACCCAATGTCATCGATCATTTCATATGTGACTTGTTCCCATTGCTGAAGCTTGCCTGCACTGACACACACATTTTTGTCTTTTTGGTGTTTGCCAACAGTGGGTCTATCTGCATCATCATCTTCTCCTTGCTGCTTGTCTCCTATGGTGTCATCTTGTTCTCTCTCAGAGCACACAGTCCTGAGGGTCGACGTAAAGCTCTCTCCACCTGCGGATCCCACGTTACTGTTGTGGTTTTGTTCTTTGTGTCATGCATATTAATATATGCAAGACCTACATCTGCGCTCTCCTCTGAGAAAAACATATTTTTATTTGCCACCGTCCTGACCCCACTGCTCAATCCCATGATCTACACTTTCAGGAATAAGGAAATGAAGAATGCTGTTCAGAAAATGTGGAAGAGATTGAGAATGGTTTCTTGTGCTTTTTAAAATATCACACTTACAGTGCTGGAGACATGAATTTATGGGTAAGAACACTTGCTGTGCAAACTTGGGGCCCTGAGTTCAAATTCACAATACCCATGTCAGAAACCAAACATCTCAGCATAATGTACACACAGTGCTGGTCAAGTCGAGACAGGCAGATCCCAAGAGAGCTCTGGACAGGCAGCTCTCTGAGAGGTTATCTAATCCCAAGCGGGCAGCCCTAAGGAGGTCCAGAGGAGTACAACTAAATGGAACCAGTACATTATATAATTATGTATACTTACAAATGTATACATGTATATTTAACAATAATGAAAAGACAAGAAATTGGAAAGGAGTAGGGGGACATGGGATGAGTTACTGGACAACTTAGAGAATGGAAATAATGCAAAGAATATTAAAAAATAAATTTAAATAACCCAGTAGTATCAAAGTTCGGTCACAGACCTTATTGCATGAAAATAAGTCAGAGTGGTAGGTATTGATATTAAATGCCTTACTTTGGACTCTGCAGGCCTGTGCAGGGTTAAGTAGATCCTCCCTCACCATAATGCACATGTATACACACACACACACACACACACACACACACACACACACAAGAGACAGATACACAAAAGAAAACTATACTTTCAGCAAACTTTATATAAGGAAATCAATATTTACTTATATCATTACTATATGAGTTATTCATTTTTAACATTGATTATGAGAAGACTTTGTTTTTAAGATCAAGCTTTTTCTATGAAGTGGCATCTCAATATTTTCATATGAAAATTAAAGCTATTTCAATGTTATAGCTAATTAATTTAGGGAAATATTGGAAGATATTTAACAATTAGATTGCTTGCCACTCAAACTATGTTTTATTAAAGTATTTTTTGAAAAAAAATTATATGTATTTGAAGTTTTTAAAAATGTGACACAAGTGACATTGTGATCATCAGAAACTGGAAATACAGAAAAAAAAATCGAACATGGAATTTAGATGTTTCTTTATCATTTGAATTCAGTACTGTAACAGCTGCATTAATATTAGGTATACAATTTGAGACACCTACTGAATTTTTTGAGACTCCCTTACATGAGTACTTGCTTTGTATTTACCTCATTTCAACCCCTCTCTCCCTCCTTCTCCACATCCTCCCACATCTTCCCCTCTCTCCCTCTCAATGTTTTCCCCCCTCAATGTCTATTGAGATTTTGTTCGTCATATATATGACAGAATATGTCTCAGTTCTAGTCCACTTTTTTATTATTATTGCATCTATCTATCATCTATCATCTATCTATCTATATATCATCTATCTATCTATCATCTATCTATCTATCTATCTATCTATCTATCTATCTATCTATCATCTATCTATCATCTATCTATGTAATGTGGTGGGTTTATTAAGATCAGCAGTTAAAAGCGCTGATTGCGTTTGCAGAGGACTCTGGTTCGTGTTCCCAGCACTAACTTGGTGGCTACAAACCATCCTTAACTCCAGTTCCAGGGGAATCTGAAGC